CGTCGCGTCTTTGGGTCAATGAGGCCCCAACTGACCGCAAAACAGAATTCAGAGCTGTTTGCTCTTACATACGGCGCCCTTGTCGTCCAGTTGATCCAGGACTATGAAGATTATGCTGAAGTGAACAAGCAACTCGAGAAATGGGATTTAACATTGGAACACGGCTGATTGAGGACTTCCTCGCAAGGAGCTCTTTAGGTCGCTGCTCTGACTTCCGAGAAGTAGGCGAGGTGGTGGCGAAGGTGTGCGTTTACTACTACCCCTCCTGAGCTGACGTTCTTAGAGGCACCTCGTTTGAAGGTCGGGTTTAAATCCTTTCTAAATATCACACCAACAGTTACGCACTCTAGTGCTCCACCTCCTTCCTCCCGCTCCACCGGTGCAGCTCAACAGTCAGGAGTTCCTGGCTCGTCTTTCATTCTGACCCTGGATGAGAATCCCCTGGCTGAATTTGTCGAACTCCCTGACGAAGCTTTGGAAGGAGGACTGTGGTTTAGTAACGTGCTGTGTGGTGTTCTTAGAGGAGCACTTGAGATGGTAAGTTCACAAACTAAAATAATCGGCGCAACTATGTATCACGCCCATTCCAAAGGTTCAGATGCAGGTGCAGGTGGAATTTTTGTCTGATGTACTTCGCGGTGATGAGAGCACGGAGATTCGGGTGACATTGCTGAAGTACCTGGAAGAAGAAGTGCCGGTCGGAGACGACTAGAGAAGCCACCTCTGATGTACTTAGAATAATGTATTATCTAGAAGACGGATACGGGACAAGTACGGGGTCCGGTAAACTTCCGAGGATATAGGAACATACATAATGAACACCCTCAGCCACGACGATCGACCCTGTTGAGTTTCTTCGCGGTCCGCGCATTGTTTTGGGTATTCTGGCCGCGGACGGGCAGACCCATGGCATGCCTCTTGCCAACGTAACTGCCTATCATGCGTTGGTGCGCAATATTATCTTTGACCACTCTCCTTGCTTCGCTCTCAATCTTGATGTTTCTCAATGGATCTGCCCATGCCCTTTGTGAGAGCTTCTTCGTCTCCTCTTTCAGGACCGCGAGTGGAGGGAGGCCGGGGGAGGTTTATAGGACGACGTGGCTAATGGAAAGCGAGGAATAGGTGTTGAAGTAGAAGGAGAGGAAAGGAACGCAGCAAGTTCTGTGATTTGATGGGGTGTTAGACTTCGAATTTGCATTTGTCGTGAATTTGAAGACGCGCACAAAGTCGATGTGCAGTTTTATGGCCAATACCATAGAATGCAGTCAAGGCGAACTAACTTGACAGTGAGCAAAGCTTTTAGAAACAATTAGCTATAGCGCACCCTTGCATACTGGTAGTCTGGGAGCTGCACCCCCAAGACGTGGACCATGGCTCACTCGGACAACAATTAGAAGGGAATACCGAACTTCAACGCTTGAAGCTTGAAAAGGAATTTCATACTCCGCGACTCAACTTCGCGCTTCACACCGTAGCTTCACGCAACCAAAACCTTCATGGCTACTAACAACGCCGAAGGACGTCGCGAGGATGCTTTCATCAAGCAGCGAGCTCAGAATCGCGAAGAGTATGAACGCCAAAAACAGACTCTCATCAACGAAACGGAAAAATCCCGTCCCTCAGCCAACAAGTTTGTCGGGCAAAATGACTCCATGGAGGAGACCCTCAAGAACCAGACTATCGGTCTAGTGAGGCTGGAGGACTTTCAGCAGAGAAGGAACTGGAGGAGGCAAAGGCTCGTGAGGCTGCTCGTACCAACGAACTCAAGTATGTTATTTTCAGTATCCACTGCCATTCTCTCTTGTGTCGTGTCGACTGTGGAAAGATGGCTTATATTCCGTGGAGGATTTGTTTAGGGACGAAACGAAAAGGGTAAAGAAACGCAAGAAGACAAAAGCTACCTTATCATTTGCCATGGATGATGAAGGCGACGTTGAAGGAGACACCTCGTCACGTCAAACTCCTGAGGTCGAGAACGGTGAACAAGCGTCCAAGCGCGCCAAGTTCCGTAAGAATCCTAATGTTGATACATCATTCCTCCCGGACCGCGAACGAGAGGAAGCGGAGAGGAAAGCGCGAAAGGTTGCGCCAAGAATGGATTCGCAGACAAGAGGAACTTAAACAAGAAGAAATCGAGATTACCTATTCTTATTGGGATGGGAGTGGTCACAGGAAGTCGGTCGTGGTATGTTCTCATATTGATCTGGCGCTCAATCGTTTATTCGCGGGATGCTTTAGTGTAAGAAAGGTGATACCATTAGCGCCTTCTTGGAGAAGTGCCGGCAGCAGTTCCCTGAATTGCGAGGCGTTAGTGTTGACAACTTGATGTACATCAAGGAGGATCTCATAATACCTCACGTGAGTTTGAATTTGAGTTTCCCTGTTGATTATTCATTTCAATGTAATTCGACAGCATCACACATTCTATGACTTCATCATCAACAAAGCTCGTGGAAAGAGCGGACCATTGTTTAATTTTGACGTTCATGATGATATTCGCTTGCTTGCTGACGCGACCAAGGAGAAAGATGAGTCACACGCTGGTAAAGTGGTGGAGAGGAGCTGGTACCAACGATTTAAGCACATCTTTCCAGCCTCTCGATGGGAGGTAAGCAAGGCATCCCTCCTGTGTCCACATCCTGTTAATCCAGGCATAGATATACGACCCAGAGAAAGACTACGGAAAGTACACCATCGCTTGATATCGTCACGTTCATACTGTGTATACATCGCGTTTTGAAGACGTCATAAATCTTATAACCTTGACTAAAAAGAAATGCCAGGACCGTGGATTGAACACGGGACCTCCAGAAGACATCGTCTTTTCTTTACTTCAGTCTGTTGCTCTCCCAGCTGAGCTACCCCGGCGATTCGTTTGGAAGGAGATTATCTGTTCTGGTACATTCCCCATTTCCAGGCCAGAGTGAGTATGGTGACAAAAGTTATCTGATAAGTATAACCTTGAGGTTTATATCGCACAAAGAGTCTGCCATGCAACTTTAGGTAACATATAAGTATTTCGGATGATATGGATTATAGTGAATAGACGAGGCAATCCTAAACCAGATGCTATAGTACATGCCTTGTCTCTAAGTGAGATGGGACTAGGTGGGATCCCGTTAATAACGCTTTGAAAGTCAGGGTAGATGATCGATATAATGCGACGTGATATCGAAGAACGTCCAGAGGAGCCCGTGCGTCGTGATACTCCGCACTGCACTGACGCCAAGACCGCGATATATGCGTGCTATGCCAGCAAGGACTGGCTTTGGATCCTTAGGATCCGGACCTAATGAATTTTGAGCCATAGTAACATGTCTGTATTGGTCTGCCGTACCGCGCACGAGGCGACGGAGGGTTTCCCATACTCCTTTCGGAGGAGTGCCAGCTAAAGCACGTTGCTGGACTTTGGTCTTTACTCTGATAAAAGGTGGAAAGAAGATGAGTTTTATGGAAAGGAAAGAGATGTGGACTAACACATCAAGGGGATATATCAATGCCCATGAAGACACGCCGGCTAGCGAACCACAGACGAAGGGAATCAAGGATGTGGGTATCGGTAACCATGCCGGCGTTGGTCCCTGCTCTCCTGAGCGCTGGCGGCCTAATAGATGTCGCATAGCATCATATTCGAAAAAGTATAAAGCAGTGCCAGCTGTATCTCGCACTATGGGACAGGTCAATCAGAGTAATGAATAGCAAAGTACATTACTCGCCAAAGTGGAGACGGAACCCTATCCAGAGCCCGGACAGCCCGTGAGTTCGAAAGATTTCTCGGACAGCGTCGATAGTATTTGGGGGTTTAACCATTTGTACGCCTTTAGTTGCGGCTATGCTGTATTCCAATTGCCTTCGAACCTGTCAACAGACTTGGAAGATTACCTTCCCAAACAAATTGGCCAAGTAAAATACCTTGACAAGTTCGAAAGCTAGTTTCACATGTCAGATGTTTGAAATACACAGTTAAAGAGCACGCACGTGCACTAGTAAATGAAATCAATGATCCAGACAAGGCACCACTGAGACCGCCCGCGAGAGCAGCATCAGAAGCTCTATCACCTGTAAAATAGTTGTTTTTACGACAGTATTCTTTTGTCCCACTGTATATTGTGAATGAAGCAGCGCCTGGATCGTCGTTAGGCTTATAAAGAACAGACAGCGTGCGATAACTCACGGACAAACGAAATCGTGACAAGTGGTATCCAGAGACCTCTATAGAAGCCGGTTACTCCTTCTTCCCGATAGACGATACCAGCAAGCTTGAGTACTGGCATCCTTGTCTTGGTGGTCTGTAGTCTCGACTTCAAAGAATCCAACTAGAAAACAGCCAAATTCGCAAGTTTTTTCGATGCAGAAAGGGCAAACGCACTGGATATCCAACAAAGGTTGAAATGTAGCTAGCTGAGAGAGCGCAAACCACCGGCTTATTTCCTAGCAGAGGAGTTATTGCAAAATTAATGTGTGATTTTCATCATACATACGCTTCAGAACGTCGTTGAAACTATCCCTGTTGAACCAGGGATTTATTGGCGGGCTAGAGACTTTTCAAGAACTATGACCTTGCGAGAAGTCCAGATTGCGGGCGTACCTTGTTCCGTCCATAACTCTTCTCGCTGGACCAGACGAAAAGTCCAGTTTCGTGCCTCTGCCAGTCTGTTTCGAGAAAGGCCGGGCGTGATCTCAGTTGGAGCCAGAAAGAAGAGCTGGAGAGGAGATAGGGATATTCAAGGGCAATTCGATATATGCTTGAAGAGTATCGGAGGTGTCACGCGTCATGAAAATTACCCATATTTGGCTGACAGGTTTATGTGCCTATATTTAAATTTCGTATTCACGACGCGTCTACACATAACACCATTGTCCACCATGGTCCGAGAAACCAATGGAAATGCTACCAATTGTGTATTGTACCAATCTCGAGGGTGTATACTGCTGATACATATTTATCAGAACCCACCCAGCCTCTTCTTCACGAGCTTCTTATTCGGGGCATTTCGACCGCCATATGGTCCAGGTAACACTTGGGTACTCGTCATCAACTCTTGGGAGGGTTGAGAAGGTTCAGGATAATCCTCATGTTGAGTATTTGTGGTTTGAAAAGTGACACCTTGAGGCTGGGTGCCGGACCTTCCCCAGTGATTCTGGGCAACATGGATGGGAGGTGGACGGGGCTCGAAACCTGCAACAATCAGCGGAGGGCGCTGTGATGTTGTAGTCGTCGTTTGCGTAGCAACCGGTGCGGTGGGGAGTGTCCGTTCTCGGGAAGGACCAATAGGATCGTTTCCTTCTGTGTTGTATGGATCATGATACGTATAGGACTCAACCTCTGTTCCAACCCCCCACTCCCTCAACAACAATCGTACACCCAGCGGACTGGAGAAATCCGCATCCTGTGCAGGCTCCGCAACGGCATCCTTGTCCCTGGAAGCATTAGGGTAATGGTTGATACAAAGCTTGGAATATGGACGCAGGTAGCCAAACTGAATCTCGGGAAGTTCGTCGTCAAGTGTCAGAGATTTTGCGGCAAGAGACATACTCTCCACATCGTCAACCTGGATCGGAGCAGCGGGCATGGAAACTGGTTGAGCTGAAAATACCATGCTGGAAAGGGTCAAATCGAGGATGAGCTGTTCTCGTGACTCTTCCTCTTGTTGTGCGAATGACCCAGTGACATCGTTCGAGTAAGACAAACTGAAGGCCTCCAGGGCATTATGCATCTCCTGCCAGTGGTCCACACGACCAAGCCCCATACGGTAGAGAAACAGCTTAAAATCGCAAGACCATGCTGCACCACTCGTAATTTTCTGAACAAGTAGCTCGTTGCGTACAAACATTTTGTACCCATGATTTGAGTTGATGATCCTGCCAGCAAAAAAATTCGTTCGTGAAGCCTCGCCTGGCTCTTCGTCAGCGCTAAGGCAGACATCATACCTGATAATATAACGGATCAGCGTCTAAGGACGACAAATATTTGAACACGCCTCACAAGGTTAACATTGCCTTGTCAGGGTTATTTGTCGTTTCCCAAAACTGAGACAACTTGTCTATCATCATGGCAAGTTCGCCCTCAGAAGCAGCTTGTTCCGTAACACCTCCCATAACGAAGATTTCTGCAACCAATATCAGTATCAGGACAAGCTCGACCAAACCGAATCACAAATGCTCACTCTGATACGCAGTTCGTAAGTTTAACTCTGAGAAATGCCTTGCACTCAGTGGCCCGTACTGAGGTTGAAGCTCCCTTGCTCTTTGAGCTAGTTTCTGCACATCGGCGGACCATTCGTGGCTAGTACCACTAGTCTGTCTTGGAAGTACGTCCATGCCATTGCGACATACAGCAAAGTCTTGGCAGTGGAGACTGCCTTGTCCAGA